TTTGAGATTAAACACCACTTGCTTTACAAAAAGAATAGAAAAGACCCAGATAGACCCTTACAAGTTATTAAATAGACAGAAGTAGGACCAGTTCTCTATATGATGTATAAATATTCTACTGCTTCATATTTAGGAACAGACGCCATGTATTATAAAATAGCTGAATGATATTATTAGGACCAAATATACTGAGACATTAAGAAATATATACAGACATGTGAAGACTGCCAGAAATAACTAAAAGGAAGAAGAAAAGAACCATTACACCCAATTCAAATTGGACGAGCCTTTGAACGAATTGGAATTGATCTAGTTGAACCTCTACCAATCACAAACCAGAACAATCGCTATATTATTGTAGTAACTGATTACCTAACTCGATAGCCAGAAGCCTGTGCCATACCAGATACCAGAGCTGAAACTTTAGCAAAATTTATCTTCAAAAAAATTATCTGTAGACACGGAACCCCTAAATAATCTTATCCGATCAAGGACGAAACTTTATTAGTACTACTATTCGAATACTGTGTGAAAAGTTTCTTATCAAGCACAAGTTCTCTTTGAGCAGCAGGGGACCCAAGCAGACCAAAGTTAAAAAAAAATACACACACGATAACCGTACTCTTCCGCCTATTAGGCCTTAATATCATATATAAAAAATGATATATTTTTTGTTATTCTACTTGGTCTTAAAATTGGGCTAGAAAGTCTATATGATAGTGTAAATTTTCATATACCAGAAATGCTCTTTAACACCTTCTACTTATTAAGATCGCTAATTTGTTTTCTTGCTTACCTGAAGTCTTCTTAACCTAAAGGAAAGTAATATGTTTTCTTATTTATCTAAAGCTTTATTAACTTTAAGAACGTAAATTTGTTTTCTTGCATATTTAAAGCCTTGTTAATCTTAAGAACATTAATTTGTTAGCAAGAAGCAAATAAAAAAAAACGGATTAGGTGTAAATTGTTCGGACTAGATGTAAATTTTTTGTATATAACCCTGGTTAAAAAATTTTCACCTATTTTTTACTCCGAAAAAACATGATAAAATTATGATAAGACAGTTGCTCTATCCTGAAGCCTATTAATATATTGGGTTACATAGTAACTATTAGCATATTTTCTGCAAAGGCCAGGTTCAGAGCTAGTCAGCTTGCTACAAACCTTTTTTTCTCATAAATTCGAAAAAAAAGAAACCTAATAAAATATGCTATCAGGTTAGGCTATCTCTGTTGATTGACAGATCAAGAGAGAAATAATTAATTATTTTTTGAACAAAAGTTTTCGTACGATTAATACAAACAGCTAAATTGTTTCACTTACTATCAAAAATGGTACTTCAATGCTCTCGATATGGAAAGAACAACTTTAAAAAGACTCGTAATTTAACAAATCATCTTAACAGAAAGTTTAAGTGTAAGCAACCCCAAATATCTAATCCAGTTTAGCGATCTAATCTTAATGTATCCAGACCTCAAATACCAGTACCCAGCTCCCTATCTTCTATAGTTCATATTCATGAAAAGAAAGCTACTCATTTATCTATAGAGGATTTGGCCAACTGGCTAGCGAATCCTAAGATAAAAAACAACCCAAGTATTATTAATAAAAAGGTTCCAAAGACAGATACAGAATGGTTTGATTTAATGGAAAAGTCTCCTAGCAGATCGCAAAAGAAACCCCAAGTTTTTTAACTAGAAGAAGATTCAAAGAATCTAGATAAAAAAGTGCCTTAGCCAGTTTCATTTTCAAATAATGAAGAGCACCAAAAAGTATGGCAAAAAGAAATTCAGACAACAAAAGATATGTTTAAAGTAGATGGTATCGAATATACATTTTTGACCTGGTTTGCAACAATTGAGGAAGATAAAATATATGAAGCCAAAATGACCAAAGAACATGGCAAGAAAATTTTAAATACAATAGATAATGATAAGTTTCTTATAAGGATAAAGTTTATTCGACCAGATTATGATAATTTCAAAATTGTTAACAAATATGAGCCCATACGTGAGTCAAAAAAGGTTGGTAATAAATTTGTTCCAGGGGGTCAAAATATTGTTCTTACAAAGAAAACAAAGCCAGGCTTCTAGATTGAAATCGATAATAAATTTTTTGTTAGAGCAATTCAAATTAAAACCTCTGATTTTGAAATACTTAAAAATAATGCAGTCATCTATGGGCTATATAGAATCCGAGAGCCAGATAGTAATCGATTAATGCCAATAAAAGATGGTGCACTTAATTGTGTGGCCCAACAAGTAATAGAGCATTTTGAAAAAGCAAAAAGAGAACATAATCTGACTAGTATACATAGGCAAAAAATTGATATATGGAAAAAAAGAATACATCAGCCTGGTGCTCGGGTAGAGGATGTAGCAGAATTAGAAAAAATACTTAAGAGGCCAATCAAATTGCTTGATATTACTCATGGGACCATTTTTAATAGTGAAAAATATCAAACAGGTAGGTATGAAGAGATTGAGATGGTAGTTCATAATGGCCATGCATTCTCTAGAAACCATCATTTTCCAAGAGATCGAATGGTAAAATATTATAATGATAATGCATGGAATACTATCAATAAAGCTCTTCAAGATTCACAAGCAATATGGCTTATTGGACTCAGACTTGGAGAAGGTGAAATACTAGAAGAAATCCAATCAGTAATGCAGTTTGTTCTAGAAGATAGTTATACATTTAGGACATGGATAAAGCATACAGATATTGTAAAAGCATATAAGGAATTATTTGAGGATATGGTAGACTAGCAACTTTGGGAAGAAATAATTAGTGAAGAAAAAGAGCAGGAATTCCTAGAATTACTAAAAATAGTTGAGTTAGCAGAGCAGGTATTTGAGGCAAACCATGCTGAAAGTAAACTTGCCAATGAAATTAATAATTGGCATCCGACTCCAGCTAGCGTACATGAAAATATAAAGCAATCTTGTATTGAGCATAGGCATGGAAGACACTAGAATGCATCTAACTATCAAGTCGGAGAAGTTGTATGTATAGATATGAAAGAATGTTACCCAGCAAGTATGCGTGGTCAAGGAGAGTATTCACCATGGTTTAAGTGGTTTGGACATCCAACACATCATCTTGTTTGAGTAGCAGTAAATGGAGAATTGCCACAAGATGATATAACCGGATTTGTGCAGATAAGATCTTTCAAATTTGTTTTTAATATTCATCTAGCAATTCCTGTTTGGTATGGAAAACACTTTGCTTGTCGAAGTGGAGAAGGATGTGGGAAGGTAAAGGGCTAGACACCTATTGTACT